CCAAAATTTGATGAAGGATATTAATCTACACATCTGAGGAGCTCAATCAGTTTCAAATAGGCTAAACTCAAAGACACACACACCTAAATACATTCTGGTCAAATTGGAAATGATAAAAGACAGAGATAGGATCTTTAAGGCACCAAGCGGAAAAAAAATATCATTGTATACTTGGGATTCTCAGCAAGATTAAGAAGCAGACTGCACTAGAAATAGTGGAGGCCAGAAAGCAGTGAGATGAAATATTCAAAGAGCTGAGACTGCCAACCAAGAATTCTACACCTACCTTCTGGACACAAACTTTATGTTATTTAAATTAAGTTGCATTAATCTAGGCTAGACTGTTCTAACTTAAGATGTTACTTTGTAATGTCCAGAGCAACAATTTTAAAAGATACCTCAAAAAATATAAATATGCAAATATTCATATAAAATATAAAAATAAAAAACAAGGAAATTAATAGTATAGATAGAAAAGATACCTGTTTAGCACAAAAGTAGATAGTAATGGAAGAACAGAGGGCCAAAGAGGACACAAGACATAGAGAAAACAAATAGAATGGCAGATCTAAATCTTACCGTATCAGTAATTATATTAAACATAAATGAATTAAGCACTCCCAACAAAAGGCAAGAACTGGCAAAATGAATTAAAAAAATATTGACCCAACTTTGTCCTATCTATAAAAAGACACACCTTATATACAAAGACACAAAGAGATTGAAAACTAAAAAGTGGAAGAAGATATACCATGCAAACAATAGCCAAAAGAGAGATGAAATGGCTATACTAATATCAGATCAAATTAAGACAAAGATTGTTACTAGAGAAAAAGAAAAACATTTTCCAAATAATAAAGAGGCAAATCATCAAGAAGACATAATAATTACAGGAATACCTTGGAGTTACTGTGGGTTCCATTCTAGACTATCATAATGAAGAGAATATTACAATAAAGTGAGTCAAATGAATTTTTTGGTTGCCTAGTGCATATAAAAGTTATGTTTACACTATACTATAGTCTATTAAGTATGCAATAGCATTATGTCAAAAATGTAGATATCTTAATTTAAAAATACTTTATTGCTAAAAAATGTTAGCTATCATTTCATCTTTCAGTGACTCATAATCACTGATCACATAACAAGCATAATAATAAAGAAAAGTTTGAAACATTGAGATTTCCAAAATGAAACACAGTGACATGATGTTAACAAATACTTTTGGAAAAATGATACCAATAGACTTGTCTGGTGCAAGATTGCCAGTATCCTTCAATTTGTATAAAAAAAAAAGCAACACCTGCAAAAGGCAATAAAGTGAAGTACAATAAAATGAGATATGTCTGTTTGAACATATATGTGCTTAGTAACAAAGCCCTCAAAGTGCATAAAGGAAAAATTGACATAAGTGAAGTGATAAATAGATAATTCAATAATAATAGTTGGAAACTTCAATATCCTACTTTGAATAATGGATATAAAAACTTGGTATAAGATTGATGAGGAAATAGAAAACTTGAACAATTCTATAAGCCAAGTAAACCTAACAGACATCTATAGAACACTCTACCCAACAACAGAGGAAAACACATTCTTCACAAGTGCACATAGAACATTCTCCAGTGTAGACCATCTGTTAGGCCATGAAGCAAGCACCAAACAGTGTAAAATGTTATAAATTGTACAAAGTTAAAATGGTAGAAATTATGAAATGTTCTCTTGTCAAAATGAAATCAACTTGGAAATGATAGAGGCAAATTAGAATATTTCACAAATATGTGGAAATTAAGTAATTCTCTCTTAAATTTCCAATGGTTGAAGAAGAAATAAAATGGGAATTAGGAAATACTTTGAGAAGGGTGAAGATGAACACACAACATGCCAAAACTTAAGGAAGGAAGTTAAATCTGTAAATAGAAATTTATATTTATGAATACCTCTGAATAAAAAAAAAGATATGTAATAAAATTAACCTTCCACAATAATAAAATAGTAAAATGAGCAAAGTAATCCCAAACCAAGGACAAGGAAGGAAATAATAAAAAGTAAAGTGGGAATAAATTAAATAGAGAATAGGAAAAATTAGAGAAAGACAGAATCAAAAGTTGGTTCACTAAACTTTCATTTAACTAAACTAAAAAGAGAGAGAAAATAATCAAATTACTAAAATCAGGAATTAGAAAGCAGCCATGACCACTGACTGTATAGAAGTAAAAAGAATTATAAGAAACTATGATCAACTGAATGTCAGCAAAGTAGAATGGAAAATTTCCTACAAAGAAACAATCTACTGAAACTGACTCAAGAAGAAATACAAAATCTGAAAAAACTATAACAAATAAAGAAATTAAATTTGTAATTTAAAGCTTTTCCACAAAGAAAAGCCCAGGTCAACATGGCTTCACTGGTGATTCTTATCTATTTAAAAAAGAATCAACACCAATTCTTCATATAATCTTCCCAAAAGAGGAAAAATACTTCCCAACTCATTCTATTAGGCCAATATGACCAAACTAGGACATCACAGGAAAAAACTATACACCAATAGTAGCATGCATGGAAGAATTCTCATAAAATGCTAGCAAAGAAAATTTGGCAACATATTAAGCTAATTACACCATTACCATTTATTGGTTAGAGAGTTTCCCCTTAAGATTGAGAACAATGCAATGGTCACCTCTCTCTCTCCATTCCTATTCAGTATTGTACTAGAAGTTCTAGCTATTGCACGAGGAACATACAAAGAAAATTTTAAAATACACAAATGAAGAAAAAAAGTCTTAATTTGTGAATAACATGATTGTCTATGTAGAAAATTTCAGAGAATCTGCACATTGCTCTTGGAACTAATAAGTCAATTTAGCAAGGATGCAGGATACAAAAACCATATATAAAATTTCATTGCTTTCATATATGTTAGCAATGAGTAATTGGAATATGATAGTAAAAATAATCCAATATCAACCACAATAACATCCCCCAAAATGAAATACTTAGGTGTCAATCTGACAAAATTGCACAGTATTTGGAGGCAGTAAACTATAACACACTGAGGAAAGAAATGAGGAAAAGAAATCAAGATCTAAATAAATGGAGAGATAATCCATATTCATGGAATAAATTACTCCATATTGACCAGTCAGTTTTCCCAACTTCATCTATACATTCAAATTTATAGTTATCAAAATCCCAGTTCCATTTTTTGGCAGATATTTTCAGATTGATCCTAGTATTTATATGAAAGTTCAAGGGACCTAAACTATACAGACTCACTGTGAAAAAGAACAGCAAAGTGGGAGGACTCACTCTTTCTGATTTTAAAACTTATTGCACAGCTATGTGATCAAGAGAGTGTAGTAAATATAGAGAGGTACACATAAATGATAAATACGTAAATCATAACATTTAGATTAATTTATGGTCAATTGATTTTTGATATAGATACTGAGACAATTCAGTGAGGGACAGAACAGTCCTTTGAACAATTTGCCTGAGGACAACTGCATACCAACATGCAAAAGTGTGAGCCTGGACCCTCTACCTCAAACCATATAAAATATTAACTACAAATGGATCACAGGCCTAAATGAAAGAGCTAAAGTTATGAAGCTTTTAGAAAAAACCAGAGGTATGTATCTTTGTGCTTTGGGTTAGGCAATGGTTTCTTCATAAAGCACAAGTAACAAAAGAAAATACAAATAATTTGGGTTTAATCAAAATTTAAAACTTTTCTGATTGAAAAGACACCATCAAGAATGTGAAAAGACAAGAGATTTGTGTTGAGAGTATATAAAGAACTATTGGAATGCAAAAATACAGACAACAATTAAAAAATGGGCAAAAACTTTGAACAGATGTTCCTTCAAAGATCATAGACAAATGGCCAATAATTGTATAAAAAGAAACTCAATATAGTTAGTCATTAAAGAACTGAAAATCGAAACCACAATGAGGTAATGAGGTGGTTAAAATAAAAAGAGGCAATAACAGATGTTGACAAGGTTGTGGAAAAACTGCAATCCTTCTACATTGTTGCTGAGAACTGAAAATGGTAAAGCTTTTTTGAAAAACTGTTTAGTATTCTCCCAAAATATTAGACATAGAGTTACCATAAAACACAGCAATATGACTACTAGGAATAGATATAAAATAAATTAATGTATGTCCACATAGAATCATATACATAATTGTTTATAGTGGCATTATTCACAGTGATAAAAAAATGCAAACAATCCAAAGTCTATCAATTAATGAATGGATAAACAAAATATGGTATACCTATACAACATAATATTATTCAACCACAAAAAGGGAATGAAGTACTGACATTTGCTGCAACATAGATGAATCTTGAAAACATCCTAAATAAGTCAGTCACATAAAACCACATATTGTATGATTCAATTTATATGAAATTTCCACAATAGGGAAACCCACAGAGACAGAAAATAGATTAGTGGTCAGAGGCTGGGGGAAATAGATTGAGAGTGCTAATGAATATGGGGTGATAAATATGTTCTAAAGTTAGATAGTAGTGATAACTGCAAAATTCTGTGAATATATTAAAAAGCTAATGAGTAGTGCATTTTAAAAGGGTGAATTTTATGGTACTTGAATTCTAACTAGCTTGCTAGCTACCCGTTTAAACTGATCATGGAAAATGAGAAGGGGGCAGCTACAGTCCTCTCATGTTTCTTGGTAGACCCTCATATGACAGCTTTAGTCTTCAGGACTACAGAAGATCACTCCTTCATTTCCTGATCATGTATAGCCAATAAACTGCATTCAAAGTACAAGCACTCTTTGATATGTCTGACAAGTGTATTGTTGAAAAATATTAACATAAGTTAACAAAATATAAGACAAAGCAACTTTTGAATAAGAAATAATGCTAAAGAACATATATCAAGGTGTCAGATGAAGCAGTCAGCTCCCAGGTTTGCTCCACTGAGGAGAAAATAAGCCAAAAACAAGAAAGGAAGAATGCCTGGGCTTACATGCATGCTCCAGCTCTGGCTTGTGATTTTAAACAATTTCAAAGAACTTTCATATCTTCTCAGCATCAGGGTTCCGAAGGGAAGTAGGAGGATTTCTGGATATGAGAGAAGAAAATGAACTCTATTAAAGATGCATTCAGAGCAAGAATTAATAAAATACAGAACAAACGAGGAAGGAGGATCAAAAGTTAAATGTTTCCTAAACTGTTTCACTTGAAATTGCCTTTTCCTAACTGGAATCATGGCTTTCCCTGTCATGTAGCTTATGGTAAATCCCAGACCACTATCTTACAAACAGGGTTAGATGTGTGTAATTAAGATACCTAAAATATTGTTTCCCAATCAAGTTGATCAGAATAACCTGTAAAGATATTGTGAGATTTGGATCCCATAACTACATCCAAATTTACTGAATCATAATATCTAGGGATGGTGACTTGTTAATGACAATAAAAATAACTTTGAGTATGATTTTGTTATCAGCCAGGTTTGCAAATCACCCAGCACCATTATGAAACACAAAACACACATATACTACAAAGTGTATATACCTAAAAATATTTTGAAATCTGGAATGTGTATATTAAGTATATACAGAGAAGAAAGTGTTTTCCATAAAGATACATGTCCAGTTAGCAGCAATATTGCATGAGAACCTAGGTTTATTAAAAATAGACTTTTATTGGTTGAACCCATTTCTTCCTTTTTCCTTTAATTCCCACAGATAGACTATGAATATTAAGGGCTAATGTAACACTGGACTAAAGAGTTTCTTGCATTAGCTTTAAAATCTCTTTAAAATCAAGGGCCAAAAAACATTTCACTTTTGTATATGATAAATATTAGAAAAAGCTCAAAATATAAATCTTTCAAATCTGCATATATATTTATGAACTTGGTAGACCAATTCATCAGAGGTTGAAACATGAAACAGTAAAGGACGGTGGCCTCTGGGGAGTGTGATGAAAATGATGTAGGTGTGTAGACTGGGAGGGAAGCTTATTTGTATTGTATGAAGTTTTTAATTTTTTTTTCAAAAATTTAGATTCATATATTAGATTTTCACATTTTTAAATGTATACAGAAAAAAGGAAAGAAAACAAAACTTATACACTAGATTATTTTTTCTACTGCTGTGTAACAAATTAGTATAGATTTAGCAGCTTAAAAAACATATATTTATTATCTCACAGTTTCTGGGGTCAGGAATTCAGGCACATCTTAACTGGGTCCTCTGTAAGAACGCAATTAATATAATAGCCAAAACTGGTTTCTCAGACTAGAGAAGAGCCTGCTTCTAGATTCACTCAGATTGATGGAAGAATTCATTACACTGTGACTGTAGATGAGGGCCCTAGTTTCTTGCTGCCAGTTGGCTGGCAGCTGCCTTCTGCTCATAAAGGTCTCCCTTCGTTCCTTGCCATCTGGGCCTCCCAACATAGTTACTTACTTCTTCAAAGCTAGCAGGGGAGTTTTATATAACAATCTTAGGAGTTGTATTGTATTCTCATCAATATCCTATTTTTGAGGATATTTTTTACTGAGACTATTTTTGTGTCAAGCATTCTGCTAAGCACTATAAGACATTGTTATATTTCTTATAAAATAGATACTACCAGTTCTATTTTTATGATGAGGACTGAGTCACTTTCCTTGTGTGATACAAGGAGCAAGTGTTAGAGAATGGATTTCAAGCATACTTTCTTTAATCAAAACTTTTTCTCTTCCCATTTTTCTACATTTCAATACTGGCAGAGTAGAAGCCAGAAAACAATTTGATTTCCTCCCAGTTTGAGTAAGAGTAAATGTTAAAAGGGCAGAAGTGAAAAGAAAGGGATGTGAGGAAAATGGACAGAAGCATTATTAAATCAACTTATATGAAATTTCACAATACATAGTTAACCCAGTGTATATTATTTTTAGTCACTTGATTGCAAATACACAACTTTGACACTTAAGACATTCCTTAAAAATGAGCCTTGTGGATTACTTAGCTCAGTTTCTGTGGGCACACTTGGACTTTTTAAGGAACAGTTGAAGAACCCAGCTTTCTCGAAGTGGACCTTTCTCTGACAGTTAAACAGTAATGAAATAGAAGTTACAAATTTTCTTGTGTAATTGGCAACATCCATTTCTACATTTTAGATTAATTACTAAGAATTTTTATTTCCCATAGGTAACTGCATAAACTTCAGTAGAATATTACTAGCAATATTCAGTCATTACTAGCAATATTAGTTCAGGTCTTCTTCTATCATAATGGCAAAATCCTGTTTTGAGGGTTTTTCGATTCCACTGAGTCCATCTTTTAAATCTATTTAAAATGACTAAAGTAGGGAGCAATTAATTTTGCTAAAAGTATAAGTATAATTGTAAGTAAAAGTACAAGTACAATTTTGCATCATTTTTCAAGACAGCTTTACCATTTAACAATGAATAAATGAGAAAGAACTAAGATTAACAGCCAAAATTAATAGTTGTTTTGATATGTTTGGGTTTTCAATACACCACTGTAAAAGTTGACAACATAAGGTGATTTTATAATAATCAATAAACTCTAATATGATACACTGAATTCTTCTTTTTGTATATGTGCAAGTATGTGTACATATACATATTGCATATATTGTATGCAATATAGTCTTATTGAGTCAGCTCTCAAACTCTGTATATTTTAAGTTTGCCCATTTCTTTGAATTTCCAAAACAGTAAAAGGAAGGGTCTACGTTTTCATTTTAAGGAATGCCAAAAGACTCTCTCAGTTGCAAGCATATTTTTAAATACTCTTTGAAATACTGGAAATTTTTTTACTCTCCCAAGTATAATATTTAAATTCTACTTACTTAAATTCTAAAAGAGAAAAAAAATTAAAAATAGATTTCAGTTGCAGTTAATCTTAGGTTAATAATGTTTAATTGGAAAGACGCATTAAAGTTTCTTTGTATTTGTTTCAATTTTTTTGTGGGGGAAGAGACAGATCTTCCTTCTTCTGTCTCTTACATAATAACATTTAGCACTCAAGAATCGATTGTATTCTACAGAAGTGGCATACTTCAGAGAAAGCCCATTGGATTAAGATGGAATATATGAACACATTTGCCTACTTTAAGGTGTTTTGCTTTATATTTTAAAGGCATGGTAACAGTTCAATACTCAAATATCTGCCTTTTCTAACTTATCTCCTAGAATATGTTCCAAAACAATGAGGTATATTGTTGACAAAGAATTAAATGTAATAATCAGGCAATTAACCAAGGGTATTTGCAGCACTATATACAAAGACAAATTAAGAAGACTATCATGGTATCCAGAAGCCATCTGTTAACCAATGTCAAACTGATGATAAAGAAAATTGAGTTCCCTTGACAGTTGGTTTTTCTGCAGCTGCGTGAAGCTATAAAAGAGCCATCAAAGACAAATCTGCATTTGTTGTTAATTCAGAAATGCAGTAGATAGGCATTGAGAAACTTCAGTGACAACTTTTTATTCTGAAAGTTGATGCTAGGATTTCCAGGGAAGTTATACATTGGACCTTGGATTGGCACTGAAGGCCATCTTGATAGGGTAAAATTATGATCAGTATAATTCTCAGATGTGTGTGCATTCACACAAATAAAATAAAAATCTGTTCAGAGCATGAAATAGTGAGTGAATCACTTATAAAATAATCAACCATACACAGATTAGTTAATCACTTATATATGCACCCACACATTTATTATTGCCCATATCTCAATGTTAGCCTGTCAGGAAAGCCTCACTATGGAGCAGTACCAGAAATAACCATAAATTTAGATGGACTTTATTATTAAGCCCTGATAAAGAATAATGTCAAAGACTTAAAACTAAGGTGCCTTCCAGAATAGTTATACTAATGATCAATGGAAACTTGATGAAGTTAACATAATGCTTTGAAAGAGCCTGGGACCTAGAGTCAGGCAAAAGTAATGCTTCAAATCACACTTCATTACATATCAGCTCTATGACCTTGGGCATATTACTTAATCTGTTGTAGTGTGTGTATAAAAATGAGAATGATAATAACCTTGCAGGGACGTTGAAAGGATACAATGAATTAATGGGTGTCAAAACTTATTTCTGTCAAATAAAACATTATGTCTTATCAATGGATTACTGAAGTAATACTAATTGCTAAGGACTTTAAGCTTATTGTGGAAAGGTCACTGGGCTGAGGATCAGGCAATCTAGCTTGTCCTTCCAGCTTTGTCATAAATAAGCCGGGTGACCCTGTAAAAATCATTTAAGTTCTCTGGACCTCAGTCTACTCTTTCCTAAATTAAATTTGGAATGGGCATCGAATTAAAATAACCATTAATTCTAAAATCCTGTAATTCTAAGTACGTCAGTTAGATTTCAAAAATAAGTGCAGGACATAAAATCACAAACTGGTAGAAAAGCAGTGTTCAAATCATTGCAAACTCTTGCATGCATACTTTTTACTGATTTTTTTTTTAAAAGAAAAATTAAGCAGTGGGAAAAATCAGCTTTTATGGTCCACTTAAGGTTTAAATTTCTTAGATACATTTTTATTAGCATTCATTTTATTTTAAGTAAGCACGTTTAATTTATTCACTAAAGATATCTAGTTGAACCAGATTAACCCAGAACTGTGTCTGAATTTTTTTATACTAGCAACTTAGAATTTTAAAGTTGAAGGTCAAAAAGTTAACAACTTATTCACTCTCCATTTTATGGTTGTAGAAATAAAACATAAATAAGAGACATAACTTAAGAGAGAACTGGTTTTACATTCTAAATCTACTGATTCCTAGATCACTCATTTTTCCTTATCGTATTTCACTATTTGTATTCTTTTTTTAACAAACTTAAAAATGCATTTTTTCTTAGTTACTTTCTCTGTTCCTGATACCTTATGACTTTGTTAACTTTAACTTAAATAACCACATTTAGTTTAATATGCAATTTCTAACAAGAATTGGATATCAAAATAAATGTGTTTGATCTCTCAATGCCATTTTAAAAGGTATATAGTGGGAGAGGATTCCTCCTACTATTGTATGAAAACTCAGAAACTCTCATCATTTTGCAGTTCATTTCTAAGTGTCACACATTC